TGGTAAGTGCAGCCGATTCAAGGGCAGCAGTGTCAGCAGATCTTGGGCAGATGTCTATGCAGGGCTGCTCAAAGTGCGACTTTGATACTGGCCTTTCTCAACATCAAGTCCTAAGGTCCGCCTACCATGCTGGGTGCAGATACAAGTGTCGTAGTGGAGGAAGATGTACTCCTACAAATGCGCTAAAACGGTGAATATGTCATTGCTTACGGCAGCTCGCGATTAAGCATATGCTGCGAAGGAAGAGCGCAATAGTGCGCGAGTGCTTTGCTGTCTGTATGATTTGTGGTAAGCAGAGACTATCAGGCTCTAATGTAGTTGAAGGCGATGACGGCCGCTAAGATTTCCGTTAGTATGCAGGTTTCCAGCTGCACAATTTCACAGTGCAGCGAAAAAAATTGTGGGGTCAAAAAACAGGAATACTGTCTCACAGGTCACTATCGACTAATGCGGATGGCACTAATGGAGGTACATTGCTATCGAACAAACCTACAACTTATCGATGCAGGAACACGCAGAACACAGCTCCTGATGCACTCTGGTATGCTTGAACAGATGAACACAGCGAGCAGTGAAGCGAGGCACGTGTCGCGCGCTATGCCATTTGGTTTGTTGTCGAGTTTCACATTTAAGAGCAATTATTCCAATTTACATTGGAGCGGAGCAAAAAGACAATAAACGATGCGCTGGTCACCGTCAATGCTTTGAAAACTAATTTGTCCTCCTTGTGGGTGACAACTTCTGCAGGTCACACAGTAGCATTGTAATTTACTGTAAGTCATTGCCTCACGCAGTGTTCTCCTCAAAACATTCAAGCGGAACCCATGCAACAGTGCGATCATTCCAAATACCTTTACTGCAACTGCAGGCTCACCACTCACTACATCTAAGAAAAGGTACTGCCTTCGTGTTTTCGCATCCGAACTAAGAAAAATGGCTCCTGAATTGGACACACAAGTTCTGACTGAATTTTAGAGCCATTGCAGCACCAATTAATTGCTGG